GGGTTCGAGGTTTCGTGTTTCGGCGCAAAATAAGCAATGTTCTTTTGTTGGTGCTTTCGTACTTCAGCAACGACACACTGAAACAGCACCGGCACTTCATCAAGCATGCAGAACCAAGCAGGTACTGTCTTCATGTCGTGACATGATGTGCAACGTTGTGAATCAAAGAAAAACAACTTGGAAAAACACGTGAATGCACCGCAGCGAAAACATTCGCGTGAGGCGTGCAGAGAATTGCTTGGGACCGCCAACAATTTGTCGCAACAACACTTTCTCCCACCAAAAACTTTGAAACACACTAGAACCGGCATTATTGTGGCGAGAAACAAGAGCATCAGATGTATCAGAGCGATACTGGTTTCAGAATCATAGATTACCGCCCAAACCAGTGCCGACCCCGACACAGGGTGAAGCTAGTAGGTGGCGGGGAGTTGGGGCACCACGGGGTCGTGGGGTTGCTTGCTCTTGTAGTCCGGGGTCGGGAAGACTTTGATCTTTGTCATGCTTGCGCTTTACCCACAGTGCTCGGTAGCGCTGGTAGAAGCAGCACATCTGTGTTCTTTCTGGAACGACAACCCACCCCTCTTCGTGGGGCGTGGGGCGGGCTTCCTTCGGCAAAGGGTGTCGTTTGAGGGTGTGGTTGCGGAGTGCTTGCTTTGTCTTAAAGGGAAAGCCGTTTCGCTCGCAGCCCGGCACGCGGCAGAACAGATCACCTGCGTTGCTCTTCATGCTTTTCCTCTAGGTCCTTGCCCAATCCCTGGTTCCGTCGCAGCTCTTCAAAATCTGTTTCTGCTTGACGCCATAGCGAACGGACGGAGCAGGCCAAGAGCTTCAGATCGGGGGAGTAGCTGTGCTGGGATAAGTCTTGCACGAGGTCCAACACCGCGTTGCCCATCTTCATTCTGCCCAGGGCTTCGGACTTTTTAACCTCTCTCACCCAATCGATCCATGGCTGCCCTGGCTTCGAAAGATCGAATTGCTGGCTTTTGTCGGGAACCGACGGGAGGCACGAGCTCCTTTTACTATAGGGCCCCGCCAGTTTTGCCATTGGATTTTCCTGCTTTTGCTGGCATGATTTGTGAATATTTGTGATCATTTTATGTATTTTCTTGAAATTTTTGCTTGAGCTGTTGGATTTTGCATGAATTTAGCTTGAGTTGTTGTATTTTGTGCATGGATTTGTTGCTGGACTTTTGCTTGAATTTTGCTTGAATTTTACTTGAGTTTTGTTGTGGACCCGCGCCGCGGTTCAAAGGCAAACAGCAAACAAAACAACATCACACATATAGACACAAGTGACAGCAAACAATACTTCTTGGTGCAAGTTAGGTAGGGAGGGCGGGGCGGGCAACAGTTCATGTTCATTGCGTCGGGACCTCTGAGTGAACGCAAGGGAGTGTGCAGGTTTAGGTTTAGTTCCCTATAACCCCTTTTGGTTTACCCTATGCCGCCCTGCTTTCGTCCCTGCGCAGGAGTGTTTGTGAGTTGTGCGAGTGACTGCGCCTCTGCAGGTAGGAAGCCGAAGCTCCCACCCTCCCTCATCCCGGTAGCCCCGCATCCCTTCTGCCTTCAGGTTCCTTCTGGACGGTGGTCTCGCTGGGAACTTGGAGCATTGCGAGTGGTAGGCGTGAACGGTAGTAGCTGGTAGGAGCGTAGTGTGTGGTAAGAGCTGGCAGGAACGTTGTGTGTAGGAGCTGGTAGGAGCGTTGTGTGCGGCAGGAGTTGGTAGGAGTGAGTGCGCGAGGGTTTCGTTTGCCGGTAGGAGTGCGGTAGGAGTGAGGGTTTCGTTTGCCGGCAGGAGTGCGGTAGGAGTGGGGGTTGTAGTTAGTGCTCCCAGGTCTCCTTGTCGTTCTCGAGCCGGCGGTGGCCTCCCTCAGAGTGCTCTGCAGGTAGGAGGTGGTAGGAGTCCGAGTGAGTTCGCAGTCTGGTAGGTGTGAGTGTGCGGCCTGGTAGGAGTGAGTGTGCAAGGGGTGAGTGAGCAGGGGTTTTGCCGGTATAGGAGTGTGGTAGGAGTGAGTGTGCGAAGGTTTTGCCGTGTGATGACGGTTGTAGCTAGTGCGCTCCCAGGTCTCAGTTCTCGAGCTGACCGCGGGCTCTCGAGCAGGCCGTGGCTTCCTCAGCGAGTAGGAAGTTTTTGCATCTCAAATGAATTCGAATGGGTCCGACATGAGCCCGAAATTGATCCGAAATTGGCCCACAATTGATCCGAAATTGGCCCACAATTGACCCGAAATTGCCCCACAATTGACCCGAAATGGGCCCACAATTGACCCGAAATGGGCCCACAATTGACCCGAAATTGGCCCACAATTGACCCGAAATGGGCCCACAATTGACCCGATATGGGCCCACAATTGACCCAAAATTGGCCCACAATTGCCTTAGAGCCTTAGAATTGACCGTCGACCGTGAAGGAGGTTGGAGCGTCATCCCGAGCCAAAGCCTAAGCGTATAAACAACAGGAGCCATGCAAGAAAACTACTGGGTATCATCATGTTCTCGGCATGCTGGGAGCTCTTTTGCACATGTCGGCATGCGCGTTCTCTGCATGAAGGGTGCATTTTGCACAAGTTTTAGGCGAGGTGCTGGCGTGTAGCTTTCGGTAGACTTCGCCATGCCTGAAGAGCAGTCCGAGCAGCCCGTCAAAGTGGCCTGTGGCAAGGCGGAAGAGCAGTCCGAGCATCCCGTCAAAGTGGCCTGTGGTATGGCTGAGGGACCTGAAGTGAATCCCAAGCCGCGGTGGTATGTCAACAAGCAGGCCGCCAAAAAGAAAAAGCGCGAGGAGAAGGCCGCGAGTGAGGGGCGGGAGCTACGCCAGTACATCAAATCCTCGCACGGGGAAGTGATGAAGCTCACGAGCTCCGAGAATGCTCAGACTCGGGCAACTGTGACCGATGCCAAAGATGAGATCATGAATCGTCTTGACCGTCTTGAAGAAGCTCTTCCGAAGCCTCGGAAGCCAAAGGTCGCGGAGGCCTCGGAGGGTGACGTCAAACCCAAACCAAAAGCCAAGTCGAGGGGCAAGAAGGAAATGACCGAGGAAGAGAAGGAAGCTGCTGAGACAAAGAAGGCCGAAGCAGCTGCCAAAAAGGCCGCTGCGGCAGCCAAAAAGGCCACACTCGCCGAGTTGAGGGCACAGAAGAGCGCGGTGGACGAGAAGATCAAGGCCTTGCTGCCCGCCACCAAGCGCGCTAAGAAGTCGGACAAGAAGGACGAGGAGCTTCCCGAGGAGATGATCATGGCGGCGCCCGAGGACAAGCATGAGAAGGTCGAGGGCGAATCACCCGGCGGAGTGATCGGCTCGTTGTTCGGCTTTAAGCGCTAGGGGCTTTTTCCGGCTTGAAGCATGTCAAGTCGAATCTTGTCTTTACAGAGCTGGGAGCCTTCAAGTAGCCGGGGGCTACTGAACACGTTCCTAAATGCTGCTGTGGTACTGCGGACAGGGTACCTTCACCTTTGATCTCCTACAGGCGAGATCGAACGCGTTCACCATCGATCCTTCGGGCGATCGGCTTGAAAATTGACGTGAGAGTTGTGACGCTCTTGAAACCTTTCCCCAAAGCCCCAAAGCTTACCCATAATCCTTGACTTTTTTACTCTTCCAAGGTCCTCGGCTTCTTCATCGTCTTCGTTGCAGGGGCCCTCTTGAGTGAAACCAGGTGCTTGTGTTAGGAGTGGCTTGTATTAGGAGTGACTTGCATTAGGAGTTGCTAGCGTTAGCAGAGAATAGGAGCAGGAAAGAATTGCATTAGGAGTGGACTGCGCTCGGAGGGACTTGCTTACTTGCAGCGTTTTTGTTCTCAGGTCTTTCGGTTCCATCGAGATCTACGGCGCTGGGGCCTGTGAGTGAAACCAAGTGATTGTGCTTGCAGGAGTAGGATTTGGTAGGACTAGATCTGCAGCTGCGTGCGAGTTGGCGGGGTAGGATCTTCTTTGAATGGATGTCTGCTGGGTAGGTCATCCACCCAACTCCTACGGGCGAGTGACGGTGGTTTCTACAGGGCTGATCTGTTCGTCACGGTGCACAAACATGTTTCTGTCCGAGTGTCTGCAGTAGTGTTGTAGGACCCTCAGCCCAAGCCTTCCATAAAGCCCCCCTGCCCAGGTCCTTCATCCTCGATGCAATGCCTTGCCCTCTGAGTGCGGTCTAGTGTCTGCGTTAGGTGCGGCTTGCTTGCAGGCGTATTGTGTTTGCAGGAGTAGGATTTGGTAGTGCTAGATCTGTAGCTGCACGTGTGTTGGTAGGACTGGATCTGTATCTGTGCACGTGTTGGTAGGGTAGGTTCCGTCTTGAGTGGATGCTAGGTCCTTCACATATAACCTATGGCCGCCCTCGTTTTTGCTCAGGTCTTTGCCCCGACTACGATGTCGTCTTCATCGCTGGGAGCTCTGAGTGCCAATGCTAGTTGTGTGCCGTTCAGTGGTGCAGTGAGCTCTTTTTGAGTGTTGACGTAACATCAGAGATCGTTTGCAGTAGCAGTTTTTGTTCAATCAAGCTTCGGTAGAGTGGCGTAGTCATGCTCCATTGCCTCCCACATGCGGTCTTATAACTAATCTCCGCTTCCCAGGTCTTGAGTTCCAGCAGTCGTATATCTTCCACTTGGATTTTCGAGCTCTTCAACGCAGGCACCTCCTAGTGCTTTTGCATCTGCACATAGGTCTGAGCTCTGTGCCAGCACGCTTTTTTGTTTGGGCATCTCCGTAACGCAAACACAAGCTTTCTTGTGTGAGATTTGCATGCCTCAAGTTCAGATTTCTGTGTGGACTAATGCTAGGTTATCACGCCTCAAGTTCAGAAATATCGGTTTCATGCCGCGCTCCTTAAGAAAATATTGTTTCAATCACTAGTTCATCCAATCAAGTTCTTTTAGCTTCTCGACACCATGCAAGCCGTCCATGTTGGAGCGGTCCACGATGCTCAGGGACCGATCCTAGCAAGAGTGAATGTGAGGTCCTTGAATCCTGGCAACACCTACTGGGTCAGACAGATTCAGCTTGACTCACCGTTTGGCGAATACATGGACTTGGATAGCATCCGTCAGGCTCGTCCGCAGTTGCTTGACATGCTTCAGACGCAGCTGTCGTTCCTCATCAAGATCATCTACCACGTCGACTTGGCAGAAGAGGTCACGAACGAAGAGGGCGAGCAGGTGGAAATCATAGTGACTTAGTGCAGCGGTGATTTGCCTCCGTGCCCTACATTTGGGGAATGCTCATGAATTTCTCACCGCCCTTCACAAGCACAGACATCCGGATTTTCCTCAAATCAGTCGTCCAAGGATTCTTCAAGTCCTCGTAGTAGTTCACTTCACCCCGCTCAAAGTGGTTCTCATGCTCGCCGGGATCAACCTCGTTCTCCTCTTCCACCTGATCCTCAGGGATTTCAAACGAGGCCATCTTCTTGACAAACTCCGCGTACTCGTCTGAGTCCTCACGGCCATGCAGGTGAGCAAAGTATTTCATGATGTAATGAAAGTCATAGCTCGAACCATTGTGGAAGTAGATCGGAATAGTCACCGGCAGCTTGATTCGAGAGTTGCAAGAAGACATGCCGCGGCCAAAAACCTCCCAGTGCCGTGTTCATGATGAACGACTTTGTCTAGGTTCCCGGCAGAGTCTTTGATCTTGAAGGCTTCGCGGCAGATCTCACAACGGTCAGCGGCTTCAAAGCGGCTCTGTTCATCAGAAGTCATAGCCCAGGGAATGTTCACAGAGCGACGCCATTGCTCATACTTCCGGGCTAGGTCGAGCGAGAATTGTTTGCCTGCGCCGATGGTTGGGCGATGGATCCAGCATGCTCCCAGGTAGCCAACAGCAGCAGGAACACAACAAAGTTCACAGATGCCACAAGTGTTTGGCCGTCTTTTCTCGCCCCGAAGGTCTGAAACGACACCTGGTCGACCAGATCTGCTCCGATGATCCTTGCAAGGGTTGCCGGCTCCCGCCTTGATGCCGGTCCAAGGTTCTGGGCAAGATCGCCACTACTACCAAGCCAAAAACAGTGCAGCCATGCATCCTTGTGGTCACAGCCGACTTTGAGACCTTCAGTTCATTGCCTCCGGACGAAATTGGAGACCACCCCGTGCTGAGTTCTACGACTTTGTGTCAAATCCAAGCGTCATGAAGATGTTCGAACCCGTGGATGGAGGTCGTTGGCTGGACTTGCCAAAGGACAAAAAGTGACGCCCGAAACGCTTCAACGCCTTGCTGGACGTAGTGGACTGCAACAACGATCAGGAATCTGTGCGCTACATGGTCGAGGTCATCTACGACGTTCCTTGGTTTCGGCACAGCTACGTGGACTTTGTCTCCCTCAGCCAGTGCCATATGAAAGATTGATAAGCTGAGTCCCAACACACGGCAGCTCTTCATCGAGCATAGGCGGTCCAACACATCGGAACGCAAACTGGTGCCCTTCTTGGGCATCCACGAAAAGGAAGCGGTTGTCTTCAGATTCCTAAAGCACATCATAAGAGATTCTTGGTGTTAGAATTTTCGACACTAGTGCAGTTTCAGTGTGCTCCTTTTATGAAGGACTTCGTTGGCGGCATCTTCGAAAATGTAGGGACTTGAAGCGGGCTGGACGAGTTCTGCAGTCGTCTGTGCAGAAACTTACGATGAATATTTAATTTGGAGAATTTGTTCAAAACTAAGAGACTTTCAGACCTGGACACTTCAAAGTTCGAGAAAGCCGTTAACAAAGCCGACATGCTGAACTTTCATTTGCAAATGTGCGAGAATAAGCCTTTCTAGCGCTTGTAGAGGCGCAGAAAGGTCTCAGCAGCAGGACGTTCAAGTTCTTTTGTGCAAGAAGTTCTGTAAGAGTCGCACCTGGTGATGAAGGGGCTTTGCAGCTTCAGGAAGATTTTCGACGGATCTGATAGCTTCCGTGATTCTGAGGTCGGAAATGGAATTCGGCCGGAGTGGACGGGATTGGTAATTGAAACATGACTTCTGGAAGCTGCGGATTCCAGCTACGGTTTGTACGTTTCGACCAAGCGTTCAGTTTGAGGCTTGCACGACACAGTTTCGTTTGATTCATCAATACGGACACCAAATGTGATGTTAGTGTGCAACAAAAGCATCGATCAAAGGTTTACGGTCTTCAAATGGAAAAGACGTGCCTGCTAAGATTTAAAAAGCACCACTCCCCACGTTCCAAAACATGATTGTCCTGGGCCATTTGCTTATCGATGGTCCAGTCAAGGTTCTCCGGCGAAGGCTTGATGTGATACAGAGGAGGCCCTTCCAAGCATCCTAGAGACAGCTTCCGGAATTGGCTCCGTAATTCGAGCGTTCTTTTGGCCCATGTGTTGCAATGATGTCCGACGTGGAAGCACCTCCTGTTCCTCCCCCTCAAAGAGTGGAGTTGCCGCAGGAGTGTAGAACGTCCTTCGTAAATTTATGGTCCTTCCTCGTCTGCCTGTTGCTAGGAGACTTTGTCCGCCCGTCTGGCCCGCCTGCGACAGGAGCGTCAGGATGCAAAGGTATTGTCTGCGTGTCTACAAGATGTCTTGATTGTCTTTCGTCCAAAGCAGGTAGAAGCGCGCAGAGTCGCTAAGATCCTGAAAGCAGAGCAAAAACGACTTCGCAAGGCATGGTTCTGTCTGCTGCCCCGTCGAATGTAGATGTTTGAACTTGCCCAGGCCAAAACAGTAGCACGGCAGCTTTCTGAATCGCAGTAATTAACCCTTGTCGTTTCTCACACGATGGCGCGAATGTTTTAACGCGCATTGAGCCCGGCACTGAGAGTGATCAGCGGTCAGTGAGCTTCGCTGTCGCCTCTCTGGTGTTGAACTGTTGCCCCAGCAGCGAGTAGCTGTTGAGCAGTGACTAAGCTCTGCCAGCTTTTAGTACGTGAGTCAGTGAGTGTGAATGAGTGAGCTTTGCTGCGACGAACGGCTGCCTGCAGCGCGTAAATTCTTCTTCGGTGTCGGGTGAGCAGTGACCAAGCTTCGCTCTTTCTTTTCCAAGCTTCGCTCTTTCTTTTCCAAGGGAATGAATGTTTACGGCTTTGAGCCCGGCGTTGAGAGTGGTCAGCGTTGCGAGCCCTGCCGAAGCAGTGGGTGAGAGAGCTTGGCTGTGACCCGAACTGTTGCGTGGCAGCTAGTAACTTCTTCGTCTTCGGTTGAGCGTGAGCGGTTCAGCAGTGTGCAAGCCTTGTCTGAGTCAGGGCACGAATGTTTTACGGGCTTTGAGCCCGGCACTAAAAGCGATGACTCTGCGGAGTGGGGTTTGCCATCTGGCAATGAGGTCTGCCATCTGAGCCAGTGAATGTATGAGCATTGCCCAAACTGTTGCCTGAGCAGCTGGTAAACTTTCCGGCTAGTCAGTGACGAAGCCTTGCTTTGACGTAATCCCAGCCTTCTTTTTCTGAAGGCCACAAAACCGTGGTTGCGTTGCGGTGTAGGGTTTAGGATGAGTAAGTGAGCCTTGCTGTAGTCCATGTGGGCAGCCAAAACTCTTTGTTGACATCTAGCAGGTTTTCCGAATGCACGAATGTGAGCCCGTCATATCATGCTCATTCGCTTCTGAAATGTTGAGCCTGTTGCAAGGTCGAAGCTGAGCGCCGCCGTAGTCTTTTACGTAGAGCAACGCGCAGCATGGGAAATCTGGATCCGAAATTGTCCGCTTGCAGAAAGCTAGGACAGGCAGACTCTACTGATCCGCCGAAGTTTGATTCGAGATTGTATGCTGCAGGGTGTGAGGATACAGACGAGGGAACCTGAACGAGCCCAGAGGTGGCGGGCAAATGATTTCACCCTTAGGACAAAGCCGGTGGTATAATATTCAGCTGCCAATTGAGTTTGATTGACTCCGGCATGTCTGGGACCTTCCACCGTTCTAATAGTGTTATACTACCCAAAGGGTGTGTAAGTGGGTTCCGTTGGTTTTTGCAGCAGATGGGGTGGGTTCCCCGTGGGTTCCCCTGTTTTTTGCAGCACTTCAGGTGGGCTACATATGGGTTTCCTTGTTTTTTGCAGCATTTCGGGTGGGTCTGTGTATGTTCTTCATTTAGCTTTCTTGTAGATTCCCATGGTTTTTGCAGCATGTACGGTGGGTTCCCTGTGGGTTCCCAAGTTTTTGCAGCATTTTTAAGTGGGTTCCCATGGTTTTTAACAATATCGACGGTGGATTCTCTGTGGGTTCCCTTGTTTTTTGCAACACTTCAGGTGGGCAACATATGGGTTCCCTGGTTTTTTGCAGCATTTCGGGTGGTCTGTGTATGTTCTTGATTTAGCTTTCTTGTAGATTCCCATGGTTTTTGCAGCATGGACGGTGGGTTCCCTGTGGGTTCCCTAGTTTTTGCAGCATTTTTAAGTGGGTTCCCATGGTTTTTAACAATATCGACGGTGGATTCTCTGTGGGTTCCCTTGTTTTTTTTTTTTTTTTTGGTGGGCAACATATGGGTTCCTTTGTTTTTTGCAGCATTTCGGGTGGTCTGTGTATGTTCTTCACTTAGCTGTCTTGTAGATTCCCATGGTTTTTGCAGCATGGACGGTGGGTTCCCTGTGGGTTCCCTAGTTTTTGCAGCATTTTTAAGTGGGCTCCCATGGTTTTTCACAGTCGATACGGTGGGTTCTCTGTTTGGTTCCCGGGTTTTTGCAGCATTTGAAGTGGGTTCCCATGGTTTTCCAATAGGCTCTTTTGGCTTTTGCAGCATGTCAGCTGGGTTCCCTGTGGGTTTCCTAGTTTTTTGTAGCATTTTTAATTGGTTCCCATGGTTTAACAGCATCGACGGTGGGTTCCCTGTGGGTTCCTTGCTTTTTGCAGCATTGCAAGTGGGTTCCCATGGTTTTCCTAGCATATATTGCGCAAAGGTCTGGGCGGGCTCCCTTGGCTCTTGCAGTGTGTCAGCTCGGTTCCGTGTGCTGCAGGTGTGGCCCGGTTCCATCGCACATCTTGCGCTGCATTTGGATTTGCTGCTTTGAAGTAAGGCTGCAAAAAGCACGTCTGCTATCTGCAGTTTGGGTCGAGACCAAAGACGTGAAACAGGCTCACCTCTGATGCACATGAGGCTCGCCGCCCTCCTGTGGTAATGCTCTTGATAAGTTTGCTGCAGCTAAATGCTGGCACGCTGATGCGAGGATTTTGCGGCATCTACTGGTAGATGTTAATCTCAGCTTGTAGCTTCAACTGTTTCGATTGCTTGCTGTACTTGGGCTGTTTTTGCGCTGGGAAGCTCCACTTGCAGGAGCTCTTTTTTCCTACAGAATCGTAGGAAGCCTCGAAGGGCCTCCCCTGTGCGGGCAAGATCTTGTACGAACAAGAGCAGAAGCACTTGTCTTGAAACGGCAGCCGATGGCAAGTTTGGCAAATTTTCCAAAAGTATCTCACATTTCACAGCATGTTGGCTTTCTTGGACGTTGATCCAAACAGCATGCGGAAGGAATTTTGTTTTTCCGTGCAGTTTTTCCAGCTGAAACGGGTTCCAAAAAGCAGCTCTAGTCCGGGCACCGAAACGGGGCTCCCGATTTTGGCTTTCTTCGTTGGACATACAAGCTCACGCAATTCGAGGCCCCAGATTCTAGCTCAGATGTGGGAGCCATTTCTGGGGCCCAGTT